GACAGTGAGAGAGTGAGGCAGTGAGAGAGTGAGGCAGTGAGAGAGTGAGAATGAGACAGTGAGAGAGTGTTAATGAGACAGTGAGAGAGTGAGGCAGTGAGAGAGTGAGGCAGTGAGAGAGTGAGAGAGTGAGGCAGTGAGAGAGTGAGACAGTGAGAGAGTGAGGCAGTGAGAGAGTGAGGCAGTGAATGAGTGAGTGAGACAGTGAGAAAGTGAGGCAGTGAGTGTGTGAGTCAGTGAATGAGTGAGTCAGTGAGAGAGTAAGGCAGGGAGAGAGTGAGGCAGTGAGAGAGTGAGAATGAGACAGTGAGAGAGTGAGAGTGAGACAGTGAGAGAGTGAGAATGAGACAGTGAGAATGAGACAGTGAGAGAGTGAGGCAGCGAGAGAGTGAGAATGAGGCAGTGAGAGAGTGAGGCAGTGAGAGAGTGAGAATGAGGCAGTGAGAGAGTGAGAGTGAGTCAGTGAGAGAGTGAGTCAGTGAGAGAGTGAGAATGAGACAGTGAGAGAATGAGACAGTGAGAGAGTGAGAATGAGAGAGTGAGTGAGTGAGAGTGAGACAGTGAGAGAATGAGACAGTGAGAGGGCGAGGCAGTGAGTGAGTGAGGCAGTGAGAGAGTGAGAATGAGACAGTGAGAGAGTGAGAATGAGAGAGTGAGACAGTGAGAGAGTGAGAATGAGAGAGTGAGAATGAGACAGTGAGAGAGTGAGAATGAGAGAGTGAGAATGAGGCAGTGAGAGAGTGAGAGTGAGACAGTGAGAGAGTTGAGTCAGTGAGAGAGTGAGAATGAGACAGTGAGAGAGTGAGACTGTAAGAGCGAAAGTTGTATGTTTTATTGGTGCTATACTGCACCCTGACTGGATTGTCTCCTCCCCGTGACCCTTCTGTAAGGGAATGTCAGTTGCCTATAGATGGGCTTTGGGTACCCATTCTGCACTCTCCCTCATTTTCAATGATATGATTTTTTGTTTTTTGATGCCTGATACCTTATCCCATTGACACCTTGTGATCACACAGGCTGGTGTGCTTCTTTCATGTGGGCTTTGTTGCTTCTCAGCTAGATAGCCACTTGTTTATCTTCAAGCCTTGAAGACCCCAGATGCTATATGTTTTGATAGCTGAGCACCATCCGCTTTCTTCACCACATTTGCTTATGTCCCCACTTTGCTCCAAGACACATCTTGGTAAGCAGGAACTTGGGCAAATATTTTCATCTCTTTCTGGGCAATGATCATGGTGATTTGACTGCTAACCAAATAGTTGGAAGTTCAAGTCCACCCAGTGGCAGATAAAAGACCTGGAGATCTAATTCTGAAAAGCTTCCACTGAAAACCCTATCGGGCACAGTTTTACTGTGATATGCATGAATTGGAACCGACTTGACTAAAA